CCAGAAGCTGGCAGGAGTAAGGAGAAGTCATGTATAAATGCAAGAGATTAACACCATTGAGACTAAGAAGGCTTAGAATTCAAATTCAATTAAAAAATTTCTGCAAGCCAAACTGCCCCATCTCATTTCTGTTGCCAGTTACCACTCAACTCAGAGAAAACCAGATAAGCCCTCAGGGAGGCCTAGATATGGCCCTTCCAGATGTGCCCTCCTCCCCCATGCAGTCCTCTTCCATGCCTCCCCCAGCTTAAGGTAGAATAATTCTACTTTAATAAGATAGAATAATAAATTAATTTTCCAAAATCTTTTCTTATCTTAAAAATTACTGGACAGGGAAGGGTGAGAAAGAGGGGTGAGAGACCACAATAACCTTTGGTAGAGGACTATGGGTCTTTGGTAATGGGAGAACTGTGGTGCCTGAAGGGGGCATCCTATACTGTCAAACGCTGGCATGGGTGTGAAGCAATGGTTCTTCAAAAACAAGTAGTAAAGGGCCTCCCTGGTGGCTCAGTGGTCGAGCGCGGGGCTGCGAAGCTGCCTGCAGCCTCTGCAGCGCCGGTTTGATCCCCGGCCACTGGTGAGGGTCCCCGGCCGCCAGTGAGGGTCCCACATGGCGCGTAGATCTATCCTGCCGCCTACTGCTCCCCTTGGCAGTGTACTTCGTCATTCTGCCTGTTCTGCTCCCCGCTGTGGCTCTGGTGATTTCTCTCACCCTCCCGAGCTTCTGACTGTACCCAGTGCTTGTATAAATAAATAAATAAATCTTTAAAAAAAAAAAAAAAGTAAACTAAATTTTTTTTTAAAAAAGGAAAAAAAGTTAATTATGTGACCCATCTGGGATTGATTTTTACTATACAGTAGGAATCAAATTTAATTTTTTTCCATATAGATAGTCAGTTATCTTAGCATCATTCATAGTCCATATTTTCCCCCATGTGATACAAGGTGTCATATTTGAGATATATATATATCCACTCATCATTGTTTTGGTTGTCTTAATTTTGTTACACTGGTTAGTCTGCCATTTCATTAATTAAAAGAAATTACTGGACCACCATGGAATCAGAAATGTGAGAACTAGTGAGTCCTAAGAAGATACTCCTACCCTGTCAAGTAAAGTGGCAGACTCTTGATTAGATCATGTTCACCATGGTTTCCTATTCATCTGGTGTGACACATAGGACATAGTAGGCTTATAATAAATATTTGTGAATAAAAAAAAATCTGTTTTACAGTTAAAGAACTTGAGGCACAAAGCAGTTCTGTGATGTGTCCAAAGTCACATATATAGGAAATGGCAGTTTGAGGACCCAATACAGCATTTTCAGCTTTTACCAGTCGGGGCCCAGCATGAAACAGATGGCACTTTCAATCACAATAATTAATTTGAGGGAAGTTTAATACAGGGACTATTTACAAAGATGTGGGTTGCATGTGGGAAAACCACAATGGCTAAAGCAATGTCCCAGCGCTAATGATGGTAAGAAGTGATTATGGCCCCTAGTCCCGAAAGGGCAGGAGGAAGAGTGCCCTGAACCAAGGAGAGGGTCCTGAGAGAGGGCTGCCTTCTGAGAGAGGGGTTCAGCCAGCTCTGTGCAACCTGACCTCATTCCCTTCTGGCCCTCCAGTCACCCTCCAGGTCTCCCATTGGCTAAACTCAACAAGAAGCCAGAGGCAGAGGGAGGCTAGTTGATGGAGCCCCTAGGAGGCAGGGCTCTGGCAGGTGGGGAAGGGGAGAGAGTACATATGAAGGGTGATAAACACTCCCCACTACTGAGGCGATTTAGGAGATCATCCAGAGTCGGCGATTTAGGAGATCATCCAGAGTCTGAGACTTAAGTAAACACCTATTGAGGCCTCAGACCTTAAGCTGGTGGTTCTAGTCTGTGCTTCTTTGTCCCCTAGTGCTACTGCACAGCCTGCTATCCTCTACACAGTTTCATTCATCAGAGTCATTCCAAACATATCTTGGTCTCCCAGTATTGCATTTCTAATATGATCCTCCTGGGTGGGGTTGCAAATATTCCCACAGTTTATTTACTGGCTGCTGGTAAAAGAGGCTACAGGAATGTGTCCCAGGCTGGGTCCTGGTTGTGGAGGAGGATGGGAAACTGCCACCGAGGAAAAACAGGTGAGCAGGGCTGTGAAGAGCCCAGAGGATACACTCTACCCTACCTCCCCTTAGGGAAAGGGAAAAGTCTTATTTATTGGAAATTGAACAAGAATGAGAAACAAGAGAACTGAGGAAAGCAAAGGTGCCTAGGGCACTACCCACTTCTTTCCCAGCAGATTCCTGGCAAAAAATGTGGGCCAATGTCAGGAAATCCCAGGTGTCCCTACCCCAAACAGAGGGGAAAGAGAATAGCATACTGACAACAAAAGGCATTCTCAAGTGAGTACTCAGATTCAATAGCTCTGATAATTGACCAGGCAGCTGCACTGCCAAATGTTGATTAGAATTGGTCAAGCTTCCAACCCCTCTCTCTGGAACACACAGATCCAGCATCCCAAGGCTCATCATCTCGAAATCCCAGGGTGTGTTTAATTAATGCTGCTGCTATTTAAAGGACACACTATCATCTGGCTCACATAATGGGAATAAGTCCAAATTCATTTTTTAAAGGAAAAATCCATTATCTCTACTTCTGGGACTTTCTTAACACTCCACCAACTCTATTTCAGGCTATGGTAGTTTGATTCTTTTGTCTTTCAATCTTTTCCAAAGGGAGAGAACTACCTACCTTGGAAAAGTCACTGGAGTGGTTTCCAGTGGCATTGATTTTGTGTTTGTAGAGAAGGGGGAAAATTCAGGCCTCGACTCTCCTGCCCTCACAGTAGAGAGAACAGAAGATGTGGAAACATCTGAGAATGCTTTTTTTTTTTTAATTTTTAAAACTTGTATGTGTATTTTAAAAAGTAGTTTGTTTTAGAATGCAGAGAATACAAAATGCCATGCTATGGAAAGTTTCTCCCACCCATGTCCCCCCACCATGGCCTCCTTACTTATATATCTTATGAAATCTTCTGCAATTTCTGTATGCTTATATAGGCAAATATAGAATCATACTTTTCTCTCTTTTTTAAAACAAAATGTAGAAATGCACTAGGAAGTAACTCCGCTACCTATCTCCTTTTAACACCTGTCATTTGAGTGGAAGAGGAAAGATGGAAAGATTCTTGATAATAAGAAAGAGCAAGTGGGCTTTCTAGTGCATTTTGCTGCAAAGGTGATGGGGAAGAAAGTTGCTTGGTGAAACCTGTAGTTTTGTGTCTGGCGATGTCAAGTTTGGGGAACTTAAGAAGAGGTTATATTGAGGGTTGGAAACACTACTGTCAGGTACAACCTGGCCTTTGTTCTCAAAAAGCAGGTGGAGACTATTCGATTTCCCCCAAAAATGGCCCTACTCATACCCCTCAGCAGGCACCAGTGTGTGACACAGACTGAGAGTGTGTATGTCCATGGTGGGCCTGACTGCCAGGCAGTTTTAATGGGTTTTGCATCAATGATGGGGCTGGTCCTGGGTGGTTTCTGCAAGCCTTCCCGGATCGTGGCCATGCCCACAGGAAGGACGTGCTTCTTTCAACTCTTGTTCATGTGGCCTGACAAAGGTTTCTGCTTCAGACTACAATATAATGTGGACATTGTAATGATAGGGCATGAAGAATAGGCCTCCCCAAGATGCCCAGAACAGGCCTTTCTAAGACCTGTCACTTGAATGCATGAAGGCATGAAGATTATTTTAAGCTGAAGTTAATCGAAGACCATCAGGTCCACAAGAAACTTTTACCACTTTCCTTTGAAGAATGAAAATTGGGGGTATTGCCCAAAATTAAGATATTTACCAAAATAACCTTTCTATCAGGGAAACTCTCAAATTACAAAGCATCTGGTCTTCATCATGTGAGTCCCACTGTCCTCATCCTGTGAGTTCCCCGCCTCTTTCCTCATAAGCCCCAGGCTCCTATCCCATTCCTTAGCTCAGGGTATTATACTCCCACTTTGCCCCCATTTACTTTAGAGTGTATATCTATGTAGAGTCTCTGTATGTAATTAAATTTGTTCTTTTTTCCTACTAATCTGCCTGATGTTAATTTGATTGCTTAACCAGCCCAAGAAGAACCAGAGAGATGGGGGGAATTTTCCTCTCTGCTCCTATTGATGAATGTGAGAAAATTGTCCTGACAAACTCTGAGTTTCACTACAATCAAAGGGCTTCAATGGAGACCACTGCAACTGGAGGGCTCACTCACCCTCGCTGGAACTTCTCTCCTGGCTCCATCCTTGGCTTAGCTTCCTGTTTGTGTTTTTTTGACTACAACAGATGGTTCTTTGGACATTTGCCAAGGTATTGTTGTATCCAGCCTGTGTGAGCCAATGAGATGCCTCAGGTATTTCCTCCTAACTAGATCTTAGCCTCAGAACCTCATCTACACACTTGTTTTGGATTGACCAAATGGTCCTTGGGACTATTGTCTTGCAGATTCATTTGATCTTACAGTGTCAGGTTCTTTTGAAACCTGCATATTAGTTCAACCTCAGAAAAACAATTTCTTTCCTGAGATCAGCAACATGCTGCAGGACTGGTCCCAGCAAAGGTCCTCTGCCTCCCGGCCCCTGTCTGCAGGTAGAAAGGGCTCTGTCTACTGCTCCAGTACCCCAGCATCTGCAGCAATGGCTGTCTGCCACTTAGTGGGCTTACCTCAAGCTACCTTATATAATGAATTACTTGAACTTAACTCCCTCATTCCCTCCAATTTAACTGTCATATCGAGGAAGTGGATAAATTCTGAGTTTGGGAGGGAAAGACAGTAACATTACCATTGTCCTTGAAAAATAGCATAAATAAGTCATTTCAATTATAGTCTCCTTTTACCAATAACAACTTTCTGCAGTCTTATCTTCAATAATACTCTCACATGACAGCAGATAAGATTCCCCAGTCTTGTTGTTTGGGGAAGATTACGTTTCGTTTCATGTTTAATTGACAAGCTATACTTACTGTGGCCATTTCCAGGGAGATAGGAAAGCTGCCCGATTTTGAAGAGATGATAGAGGGCTTGGGAATAGAACAAAGGCTATTTGATGGCAAATGTCCTTGTCCTTTGGGCTGAGGTGTTCCTGTTCCATCTTCAGTTTCATCAGCAGATATATAGTTGCCTTCATGATTCTGTGCAAAATGCCACCACCAAAAAACAAAGCAAACAGAGCCAGTGATGACCTTTTTTTCCCCTTTTCTTTCTCTCTCTCAAATATCAGTGTTCAGAAAATATTGTCTCCCTTTTAAAGATGTCTGAAATGGTGATAAATAGCAATAAAAGAGGCAGAAAAATCCCAGTGTCTGTGTCAAAGAGGTTTCTCATAACTTTTATGTGAGGAGGAGAGGTTAAATGTAACTATGGAAACATAATTAATGCTATCAAGACCTTGACTTGAAATTGTGTTTCGAGCAGAATGTAAATGTCACTGTCTCTTGTTTTGAGAGGACAACATTATATAAACAATGACTGAATCTTTCTAGTCTGTACTAGGTATTTCTCATGATGTTGTTAACTGGCCAGTAAATGAAGACAGGTTAGATTTTTATAATACTCTCTGATTCCTTTCCCCCAATAAGTGAGCATAATAATGTTCTTCTTTAAAAGCTCAACCTCCACTTTAAGATTTATTTTTCTTTTCTTATGGCATTTCAATATAGTTAGCATAACTTCTATACTAATATCATGAAACTAAAGTGCCCTAATGGTCATGGAAACATGTGGGAAACAGCCTTAGCTTTTCTGAAATCCTGGAGGAAAAGATGTTTCCTTATCTCAGAAGGTCAGTACCCAAGTCACAGACTACTGATGGGATAAGATGTATTTTGTAAATCAAATGGAATACCTTTATATATGTGGCAGTGGATCCCCCCATTTGGTGAAGTATGTTTTTCCCTTTCAAAGATTGTTTTCTTTTTTGAATATTCTAGTCTCTTAAATGGCAGCTATTTCCAGAACTAATACTTCCAGGGCTAAAATAGAAATATTATCTCCCTGATTCTAATTTAGACAGGTTCAGAGAGTTTTAGCACAAATAAGGCTTTAGTACACAGGTTATTTGGAGCAAGATCTTTTAGTGTTGTACTTAAAGTATTAATAATTCAATTGTTTGATCACATCACATACAGTGCCAAAAAAATCATTTTAATATTTTGTCTTGTATTTGTTCAGTGGCTGAATTAATATTTGAAATGCAAATCTTCTAACCTCCTAACCTCTTCAAATTGCATGAGATATAAACACCTTTCATCTTACATGTGTAACAGATTTTTAAAACACCCTTTTAACACCTGAATTCAGTCATCTTTCTCTTATTTGAAAATGTTAAAGGAAAACAGTTTTTCAGGAGCTGAATAAAAATGATAATTATTTTCAAAACTACTTTTCTTCAGAGACTTGAAGCACTCAGTTTGTTGTCAGAACCTAGTATCATTTCACTAGTTTAAGAATGCTAGACTATTACTTTTTTTCTAAAATAAAAGCTATAAGTTGCTTTTAATGATGAAAAATAGCTCTTAAAAATAGGATGAGATTTTTATGAAAAAAGAAAGCTCAAGAAATATCTTCACCAGGCTTTCTAGTTGTATGTTTTCACACATTTAATGCCGGTTCCTGAATGACATTTTGTGCAGAGAATAAATGCAGATAATGCTGTTAATGTGATTGTTTGAAGAAGCAGCTAGAAGAAAACACATTGGCTTTGAGAAAAGTAATTACCTGAGAAGTTGTATTATTGGTTCCCAACCTATAAATGAAAGAGAAACATCAAATAAATTACTCACTCTATTCAACCCTTGCACCCTCAAACATCCTTAAACCTCAACCTTACTAGGAAAGTCTCTTTCCTCAAATAGTTATACCTGAAGCATTTTAAATGTAAAATGGATACTGGAGACTGCTCACATAGCAAGCATAAAAGCTGATTACCTAAACACCCCAAACCCCTTTGGTTCTAGAGAAATGAGAAAATGAGAGCATCTTACCCATGATAACTAAAAATTTCCCTCCATTTGTCAAGAAACGAAATTTTCCTAGTTATCTCCTCTAAATCCAGCCCTTGGGAGCTTTTTTCCTGGTTGGAGACCTCCAAGTTCATGTAGCCAATGTGAGGAATTGGAAGAAGAAATTGAGAGGGTGGGAGAGAGAGGTGTTCCAGCGACTGAACTGGCCAGCACAGATGGCAGAGGAAGGTGCCTCCCCTACTTTTGACCAGCAAGATCATGCCACACAATAGGGCTCTGGGCTGACTGCAAGCCCCTGCTATCAGATCATGATTAAACTTTTATTAGAGGTGTGGAGCTTGCAAAATTGTTCCCAACCTTGCTTCTTGCTGTTTTCATATGATGCTTCATAAAGAAAAATCCAGAAGCAAAATTTTAGAGCCTTTTGAATTTTTAAGGAAATTTCTTTAGTGTTTAATTAACCATACCCTTGGAAAAATTCTTCCTTAAGAGTAAGTTAAATCCTTTATGCTTTAATTATCATTCATTTTCTTTTAGTTCTATTTTCTGTGGTGATGGAAATTTCTTGATTATATTCCTTCCTAAAAGAATTCTACAAATCCACTGCAACCTAGAAGATCTTTGATACATTCTTTTGTCCTTTGGTGGTGTGGTGAGGAATAAAAGGAGCCAGGCCCAGGGGCAAATCCCAGGGCCTGTCCCATGAGTGTGCAACCTTGGAGAAGTTATTTCATCTCTGAACTTCACTTTCTTATCTTCATCTGACTTATCTCATAATGAATATGACTGATGTGAAAACTCAGTCTTTAATGAATTTTTTTTAACTTCATATGTTAAAAACTCTCCTTTAAATTTTTATATTTTTCATGCCAATATATATTTTAGGAGTGGTAGCATGGCCCAGGGTAGAGCTAGACGCTAACAATCCTAAAGTGAGAAGACTTTGGCATTGATCCTGAATCACTGGCCATGTGGCCTTTTTGGTTGATCACTTAGTTGCTGGTATGGGCACTAGGCCTCATCTGAAAGCCAGAGTGGTAGAATGGGAAATATATCTATACATAGTTTTTGTTCCTTGTTCCTGGAACAGAACTCCTAAAAACCTTGGAGTTTCTTGAGTATCAAAGGCAATGTACCATCTTTTGTTCTTATGAGCCTTGATGGTCTCTAGATGGATTCAGAATTGGCACTGGTTACCAGAAAGACCAAATCTTGATGAAAATCCAGGAACTTGTAGTCCCAGTCCCTAGCTTCATAATGGGCAATGATTTAACCAATCATACCTATGTAATTAAAACTCCATTGAACACCAAAACAGTGGGATTTGGGGGAGCTTCCAAGTTGACAAACACATTCATGTGCCACGTGGACAGCACACTGCAACTCCATAGGCAGTAGATTCTTGTACTGTGGGCCTCTCTGGACCTCACTCTACATAGCTCTTCATCTCACTGTTTATTTTTTATATCCTTTATAATAAACTAGTAAATCTAAGTAAAGTGGCTACCTGAGTCCTGTGAATCATTCTAGCAAATTACTGTGTCTGAGGAAGATTTGTAGGCACCCCCCAATTCATATTTGGTCAAACACTGGATGCCCTAAAACTTGTGACTAGTATCTCCAAGTGAGATACTCAGTCATGTGCAACTGAGCCCTTAAATCTGTGGAGCCTAAATCCAAATAATGTTAGAACTAAATTCAATTCTAGGATGCCTAGATGGCATTTGACAATTAGTTGGTATTGAGGGAACCATTTGGTGTCAGAAAGAACCTGACAATTAGCATTTCAAGACACGTGTTAGAGTCAGGTTGCTTGGGTGGGAATCTTTGCTCCTCAGCTGTATTTGATTTTTATTGCTGGCTAACAAATTCCACTGATTAAGCAGCTTTAAACAACACCCATTTATTATCTCCCAGTTTCCATGGATCAGGAGTCTAGACATGGTTTGACTGGGTCCTCTACATAGGGTCTCACAGGCTACAGTCAAGGTGTCCGCCGAGTCTTCACTTCTCCTCTAGGCTCACAGGCCTCTTCTAAACTCATAGTTGTAGGCAGGATTCATTTTCTTATCATGATAGAACTCGTTTCTTCAAGAGTAGTGGGAGAAAGAATTGTGTCTGCTGCTCCAGGTCTCTGATCTTGGGAGAAAACTAAGTTATCTTCTAAAGAAGTTATTTGATTAGGTCAAGCTCAACAAGGATAATCTTGTTTTTAATTAGCTGACAGTCAAACTGATTAAGGACCTTAATTACATCTGCAAAGTCCCTTCACATTTGTCATATAAGGTAACACAACCATAAAAGTGATAGCCCATCACCTTTGCCATTTTCTGTTGGTTTTTTTTCTTTCACGCATTTTGGCAGATTTTGTCATAAGGAATTAGTCAATTTCATTTAAGTTATCAACTTTGTGAGCATTGAGTTGTTCAGTACTTTTTTTTATTATTCTTTTAAAGTTCATGGGCTCTGTAATTATACCCCCACTTTCATTTCTGATATTGGACATTTGTATCCTCTATTTTTCATAATTAGCCAGAATAGTGGCTTATTAATTTTATTGCTTTATTTAAAAGAATCAGCTTTTTGGTTTCATTGGTTTTTTCTGTCGATTTCCTATTTTCAATTTCATTGATTTTTGCTCTAAGTTTTATTATTTTATTTTCTTCTCTTTACTTTGGATTTAATTTGGTATTCTTTTTCTATTTTCCTAGGGTAAAAACTTAGGTTATTCGTTTTATATTATTCTTCTTTTTAATATATTCATTCAGTGCTATAAATTTATTTGTTAAGAACTGCTTTTGCAGTGCAAATTTTGAAAAGTCATGTTTCATTTTCATTTACATAACTATTTTTAATAATCTTGATGTTTCTTCTTTAATTTGTGTGTTATTTAGAAATACGTTGGTTTATCTTCACCAAGATTAGGATTTCCTAGCTATCTTTCTTTACTGATTTCTAGCTTAATTCCACTGTACTCTGAGAGCAGACATTGTATGGTTTCTATCCTTTTCAAGTTTGTTAAGTTTTGTAAAAACTCAAAGAAGTCAACTAGTTAGCAGGCAGGTATGTTTTATAACCTAGAATGTGGTTTATCTTGGTGAGTATTCCCTGTAAGCATGAGAACAATGTGTGTTCTGCTGTTGTTTTATAAAGCCATCTATAGACGTCTATTATATTCAGTTGATTGATGGTATTGTCGAGTTCAGCTGACTATGTCCAGTTTTGTGCCTACTGGTTCTGTGCATTTCTCAGTGGGGTGTTGACTCTCCAATCATAATAGTGGATTTATCTATTTCTCCTTGAAGTTCTATCATTTTTTTAACCTCACAAAATTTGCACTCTGTTGTTAGGTGCAAATACATCAAAAATGATTATGTTTTCTTGGAGAATCTTTATCTGCTAGTATGTCCATCCTTATTCCATATTCTGTTAATAAGAGGCAAGTCACAGGTCCCCCTAGCACTCAAGGGGAGGGTCAGATGCAAAGGGTGGCATGTTGGAGGGTCACTCTAGGGTGTACTCATAGCACCAATGTGCTGACAGTGGTCTTGGGCCAACCATCTCCTTTCTCTGTGCCTCATTTTCTACATTGGAAAAATGGGGATGATAATTTTAACCACATCCCTGTGCCACTGTGAGGATTCATTGGTTAATACGTAACAAGTATTTAGAACAGTCGTATATAGCAAATGTTCCATAATTCTTAGCTGTTTCTTTTCAAAATAGGGACAACAATCCCTTCCCAGTTGGCCAATTAACATTGTTACAAAATTCAGGGGATTGCAAGTCTCTGTTAAATGAAAAGCACCACACTTTAGGGTGGGTTATTGTTTAGGACTTGGCTTCCTCATTCTTTTAACAAATATCTCTTTCATCTACTTTCCTATGATTGCACAATGACACACAACTGTTTACATGTGTGGATGGAAGGAAGAGGGGGGGTGCCATGTTGAATCATCAAGTTGGCATTTTACCTCTGCATGCTTCAAGATGTTTTTTGTCTTGTTTTTGAGACTTCTCAGGCTTGGGTAAGGTCACAGGGCAACAAATAATGAAGTATAGATTCACTGAATCTGCTGTGTGATCTGGGATGGACGACACCAGATAACCTCTTTGCTGTTTGCCTTCTCTGATTTTTGCCTAGTATGCCAATTCTATATAACTTCACCTGGAATCTCTTGACTAAAGCCCATGAACACACTTTGATGTACAGGCCATTTGTGGTTTTGTAATGTTTTGTGCTCTGCCTGGACTTCAGATCCTCCAATTTTCTATGGAACCAGGAAAGTCCCTTTAGAGAGAGTACAATTCATTCTCAGGAACATAATTCTAGGTATTAGAAGCAGAGTTATGCTAACAAAGTCCAAAGGCAGGCAAAATTAACAGATGCTCCCGGTAATGAACATGGTGTAGAAAGGTTTTTCATAATGACTGCCTCTGTAGAGTATTAATAGGAATGCATCCCTTCCCTCGCAGTCTCCCCTCACACCATCTGTTATTTGTGTCAGGCAGTCAGTAATTGCTATATGTGACCCTTGTTGTTAGTAACAGGGACAACACTGCACATTGCAGCTTTCTTTGCTTTCTCCCATCTTCTGGCAGCTGTGGTTAAAAGGTTTGTGTCTATCCTAAGATGGTAGATCAGGATTCCCCTGAATTTTGCAACTAAATATAAACAGTCATTTACCCTCCCTATTGGGACTAAGTCATAAATAATAAGTGGGAGCAATCTTTCATCAGGATGACGATGGTTACTAGGAAACGGGCACGGCAGTCAGGCTCTCTGTTGTCATCCTGTATCCATATGGCAACGAGTATAAGCTCTGGTTCTCTGTCTTTGGCCTTTCAAATGGCTCTTGAGTATACTGTTTGTGCATATTGAAGTATTCTCCACTTTTGCGCATTTTCAGGGACAAAGACGGGTTCTAATTTAGCCTCTGTCATTAAGTTGGTATGGGCTTTCAGTTGAATTAATTCACCTCACTGGTCCTCAGTTTAATCCCTGTAACTTCATTTTACAAATTGACTAATTTTCAGCACAGTTTCTTCTTACATTAGAAAAGAAACTCTGAGGTTTGGGTGAACAGGGCCTCTTGCTTTAGGAGAAACCCAGCACTTTAGAGCTGCCTGACTG